AAGATTCTGTAGTTCTTATTGCAATTGCACAGTTATTATCATCTGAATTAAGTAACACTAAACATTTTTTCACACATATGACGTACGCGTATTACATATTTAAAAAAACAATTTTTGTATTATCATTTTTTTTTCAACTTCGTAAATATTCACTCTCAATATTTTTTTGAGTAACCTAAATAATATGTTTGTATCAAAAGTTAAATTGAATGCATTAATCAAATCCTAAGTATCGTTTAAAAGATTTTCAAATTAGATATGCCCATTTTAGTATCCAGTTGCATAATTCTGTTTATTTTAAAGCTTGGTATAATGGCAAATTGCAATGTTAATTGCACAACGAACGCTCTTTTAATATATCTTTCTCTGCTTCCACATTTCGACTTGAGTTATTAAGTTCGTGTTTCGCATAACAAATTACTGCTACGCCGTAGCCACGTAGCTCGTAGACGCCTACGCTTTGCTACGAGTACGACTAAAAAATAGTGTAGACTCCAGGCTTTTGGTACTTGAATGTTTAATTTCGTTTCTTAATCTGCATTTGACTTCAAAAGTTATTTTTTGTGCCTATTTATTTCTGTTTGGTAATAAAATAATGTACAGATTCATAACATAATTATTTACTAAGTCTGATTTAAAAAATTTTGTAGTTGTATCTGGGAAGTCTAATTTTCTCTCGTATAAAAGTTGTAGCTATTATTTTTTACCAAATTATTACAACGTAAGACAAACAACTAGGAACTCATTACAAAAAAAAACAAAACAACACTACAATTTTAATCTACTATATAAAAATAAGTCGGGCTTTCCTTCCTGACGCTATAACCCAAGAACGCACGAACCGATTTCCACGGTTTTCCATTCGTTGGTAAGGTCTCAGGCTCCGTGAGGTTTATAGTAAAGAAAATTCACTAATCACCAAACTAAATGTTACATAAAACGAAGCCATCTGGTGGCGAAACGGAGTTCGCCGGGTTTGCTAGTTTCCTTATAAAAGGAATCTGAACACAAATGCTTACTAAAAATTAGAATTCAGCACTAACAAGTCTTCTTTAATCTTTTAACAACTAGAATGCACTATAAAATATAAGAATTCACATATACAAGCCCTAGGAAGTTAATATCAAAATTAACGCAAGCACAGTATGCCGCACACACACATACATTAGTTTTCATAATGGGCTCACATACTTTATACAAATGGCTTGGTAAGGCTGCCTAATAATGTGGTCCGGTAAAATATAACATTTAAATTATTACTCTATGCTTATGCATCTTAACGTTTGTTTTCGTTTAACAAAGAAGTTTAACAAAAAGTCACATTAAAGTGGAAGGTCGTAAGATTATTTGTTTACCTAAACTTTTATTTTGAACACTGCATACGTATTTTATAGATAATGCCTTTGATATGTTTCTGATTTTTTTTTCAAAGCGTTGCCCCACGCTTCGCTTTTCTCCTATATCGTGAGTGCGTTTACAAACATACAAGTACTCATACACATGACAACCAGACCCGGTACAACTATTTTTGAATCACACAAAGAGTTGCCCCGTACGGGAATCGAACCCTCTACTCGTTGCGCGGCAGTCAATTGCCCAGCCACCGCACCAACAGTGCATTCATTATTATTTTATATGTAGGTATAGTTATTAATAAATAATCAGTTCTATACGAGTTAACATTAGCTTTCAAAATAGCACAATTGTAAAACGAGATAGAATTAGATTTGAACTTGTTTAAACACTTTAAGGTCTCTCTAGAATGGCAATGATCTTTTCAAATCAAATTACTTCAAATCTAGTTGAGACGTCTCTGCATTATTATTAAAAAAACATTGTTTTAAAAGCAAGCTCCTAAACCGGCTAACAATAAAGGAAAGCAAAAATGTTAATGGCATTATTAGCCCAAATTATCCCGAGGATATTACCAAAAACATTACCGTAAAGCCTTCGTTAATATTAAAAAAAAACTGTAAATTCAAATTACCTCCTTGTTCTGAGAAAACAAAAGGTAACTCATGAAGACAACCTTCGTGTCGTCACAGGCTGAAAGCGATACAGCCTTCAGCTTTATAAAGGAGGGATTAAAAAAACACTCGTTAGGTTAACGTTCCTTAAAATAACAAAACTCGTTATTCATGAGTCCTCACAATACAAGTCCCGAATACATAATTCAGTTGAAATATTCCGTTATTTTCAGTCGTCTGTTACTTTTTGAATATTGTTGTCTTCACTAATTTGCATTCCGTTATTGTGACTATCTTTGATCTGTCATGTAATGGAAAGTGTTTAGTATTCCACAAAATGATTTCAAACGATCATTTGATTTTAATCTTTATATCAATCGTGTTAGAGAATAATATATTGTTTTGTAAGTACATTCAACTATAGAGCTGTTGTTATTGATTGTATTCAGATATTTGAACTTTGAACTTTAAAATGAGAGAAATAAAACAAAATATCCTTTGTTTTATTTCTCTAGGCTCTTAAAACTATTTGTAGCAACTCGTGATACATCATAATAAAATGTTCTGCAAAGCTTTTAAAGGCGACAACTCTAGAACATTCGTTATAGGGACTAAAATCTCAAATGCCACCATTTGTAACATTTTATAGACCGTGAGTTATACTCCCTTCTCCATTAACATTACAATTATTGCTGGGTTCACAGTTACCGGACTTTAGTAGGCTATCAACTTGAGGAAGATTACTGATAATAAAGTTGCTAAGTCCTTGAACAGATAGTTGTCAGATTTCATGTTAATTGGGAACTTAATGCATGTCTAATTATTAGTTTGCGATAAGCGCGGATTAGGGACAAACTGTGAGATGCGTATCGATATCGATTTGTGACTTTGGGTCAAGGGAGTGTGTTCTTAGTTACGATAGAATTAAGGTATTTTTTACAATACCTATTGCTTTCTTTTACATTACGATTATGTTCAACAGATTTCAAATTACCATAAATGCGATGACGTTGGTTACACACGCAGCTCTTGAATAAGAGTCCCTCTGCGACTTGAAACTAGTAGAGCTTTTTTCAATTATTTATGCGAGTAAACCGTTATTTTTAATAATCTAATCAAATATTTTAAGTGTGCAAGAGCCATGCTTTCCATTGCCACGGCCTCACAGAAAACCGACGTGAAGCAACGCTTGCGTCGTGTGAGTGAGAATACCGGAGGCCCAGCTACCCTTCCCCCTTCCCCAATCCCCGAATCCCCCACAATCCACAAACTCCTAATCCCCAAAAGGGCGGTAACGCACTTGTATGGTGTTCCAGGTGTCCAAGGCCAACGCCGATGGTTTACCGTCAGGTGATCAGTGCGTAGGCTCGTTTAACAGCTTATGCCATAAAAAATTATAAAATCATAAACAAAATATTTCACAATATACTAATACAAATCTAACCACAACTTTTCTAACAACAAATCATTTTCAAAACACGTGTGATAGCATTCTGTTTGTCAAGTATCAAGATGTATGGCCTAATAACGGTTTCCCGATACGGAGCAATATAGCTCCGATATTGGACAAGCGGTAAGAATAGCAATCAGCTGGGTACATGGATGGAAACTAGGTACCTATCTGCATTATTGGGCGGATGACGTGAGTGGAATACTGGTGAACGATGATCGATATCCAGTGATCTGGGTAATAGCCAGGGAATTTTGTCGTTGAAGATAGCGTGGTAACTTTTAAACGGGTTATAGAGTTACTCTAGCCTTAACAGATAAAATAATAAGCTGTTATTGTCATATTATTGCTGACTTCCCACAGATCTGTCATTATTTTTTGGTCCTAGTGAGCTTTGGTTAACAACTTAATATTTAGGTGCGATCACAATGACTAGACTTTTTTTATGATTTTTTTTAAGAGGGAAAATCATCGGAACATTGCTCCTGTCTTGGTGGGGCGGGAGTGTCAGACTCTTACTGACTAACAACTACCCTGTTCCTACTCCTGCCCTTCGACCCAGAGCCCCGGCAACCCGTTAAATCTTGCGCGGCATAATGACTAGACTAGCATTGCATGATGTTGTATTTAGTTGGGATAAGTAAACAGAGAGTTATCAATAAAGCACACTTACCAATCGAATTGAGAACCCAGAGATATCGAGATTGAGGGAGAATATATTATTTTAGTTGAAAAAAAACTAACGAGTATAAAAAATCCTTTTTCACTTAGCACCCGAGGATTTTGTAAGCACATCCCCTGAGGTACCCCTTTAGAATTAATACAAATGATGACACACGCAATAGGCCCATATTTTTGAATCTGATCGCTCAGACGTAGCGAAACCTATCAAAGACAATATGTATACGCTTAAATTCTCAAATCTATTTTAGAATATAAATTTTGATTTACAAAGAATTCTATTTTTATTTGAAGATATTTATTTTATTTCAATTTATTTACGCGATTGGTCACGTTTGTCTCGCTTCAATTACAATAACATGAGATTTTAAATTTCAATTTCTTTTATCTGCTTATTCAGAACGAAATGTTATCTGTAAAAATGTTAGCCTGAAAGATTTTGTGTATCAATTTTACATTTTTACATCTGAATGAAATACAAATGCTAGTTTTAATATAATTAAATAACATAATATCACGGCTTTTGTATCCCCGAAGTGGTTGGCTGAAGTGCACATTACAACACTTAATGCTACTGTACAATGTAACACCCACTTCTCTCTGTATAATAGGGGGTGAGCCTCTTGCCATATACCGGGCTCAATTCCAGACTCCGTGCGACTACTGATATTTAATAAAAAACCCCGTAATACTTTGCCCGACCCGGGAATCGAATCTGACACCCCTTGCTCGGTAGTCGCACATGCGGCTTGCTTTATTAGTCATATTATAATATTCCAAAGTTATTTATAGTATTTATTATTGTATAGATGGAACTGGTCCATATTAAAGATTATGTTAAGTATGTTCTTTGTTCTTGAGAAACAAAACGTTTACTTAAAAAACTTAATGTAAATTATAAAATGGATGACTGGTAATTTCATTTCAAACCTAGTTGCCTATTATATTGATGAAAAAATATATTATTATTATTTATTAAATTGAGTACATAGAACTTTCTTAATATTTCGTAAGGGGATTCTTTTTAACCCTGAACGATGTTCAAGTACCCTTTTAGGGTGAAACCACTCAATAAATTATATATTATAAAATGAAATATCTTAGTATTTCTGTACTCAGTATAATTTACAAAATGATATTAATACATTTACTTGTACGGATTTTTAAACTGAATGGATGATTTGTTTTATATTATTTTTAAAGTTGTTGTATTTCTTTATTTACATAAATTCACGCCTTTGATCCCTGTAGGGGTAGGCAGAGGTGCACATTACGGCACCTAATGCCACTGTACAATGTAACACCCATTTTTAACTGCCGGGCCAGGGGTCTCGAGTTCGATTCCCGGGTCGGGCAAAGTATTACTGGGTTTTTAAATACTCTCAGTAGTAACACGGAGACTGGAATTGTGCCCGGTATATGGCAATAGGCTCACCCCTATTACATGGGACTCATAACATAAATACTGAAAAGTGGGTGTTACATTGTATAGTGGTATAATGTGCACCTCTGCCTATGCCTAACCCTTCGGGGATAAAAGGCGTGATGTTATGTTATGTTAATAAACCGTTTCATTAAATTTTCTTTGCTCCTTAATCTGTTTTTCTATAAGTTCTAAGAGTTAAGATCTCAAGGACACAAGTTCATTGACACTTTGAAGTGTTAGTGTTAGCATTGAGATTGATGATAGCAATCGAGGGTGCCTAAATGTACCCGTTTTATCTGGACTCATGTAAGTAATTGTGCTTCGATCTATTCGCAGTTAGTTAAATGTAGGTACTTCTATAAAGGAATAAAAGAAAATCGCGTAACTTTCATACGAGAATAGCTGAGTCGGGTCCTTATGTGATTCTATTCTGAAATGTATTATTGGTATCAGGATTCATAATAAAGATTAAGTTTCTCAAGTAACATATGTATGTATATTCTTTCCATTTGATGATTTTTCGTTTTGGTTGACTCTAGTTATTTAATATTAACACGCTGGACAATTTGGTAATGCCAAAAGATAACAATAAAGGACTTGACATCACGGATTATAATTAACTTCTAAATTCTAAATTTACCAGAAAATTTATTTTAACAAATACATTCTAATTCTTTGTAATCCTTGCCTTCCCTACGACCTAGTAGTCAACGTCACGTTGAACCTTGTAATAACAAAATATTACAAAAAAATACCACCGTCAAAATCACCTCATTCCCCACCCTGCCACTCTCACCTGACACACATAATACAAACACATCACCATAATATGCACACAGAATACACACATAAAACATCTTAATCCCCTATACAGGGTGTAGCAGAACAATAATAAGGTATATTTGTCAAAGACATTACTTATACAGTGTGTCTTAATTTACTGTTTGTGCTTTACGCTGAAATTATGGCGTGCTCAACTTACACCTGTGTGCCTAATACCGGCGTGCGAAGCATAAATAATAGTGGCATAGACTACGTAGGAATTTAAAGACGATTGAGTATGCCTATATTTGTGTCTAGGTACATTTAGGAATTGTGCGCTGTGTTATTGAAATAGGTGTTGGGTTTTATAGAATAATTTGTTGTATGGATCTTAATATGGTTAGTTTTTTCATACAATGTTCCAACCGCGACAATGTTCCAACTTAACGTGAACACGTTAAGTTGGAACATTGTCGCGGAGAACCACGGGTTACCGGGGCTCCGGCTCGAAGTGCTGGAGTAGGAACGGGGTGGTTTTTAGTCAGTAAGAGTCTGACACTCCCTCCCGCATCACCCAGGCGGGAGGGCTGAATCATTCGATGATTTTCCCCCATTAAAAAAAATTTAAACATTGTTTTAAAAAATCAATAGTCTGTACGGGAACTTGAATTTAAGTCGTTCGAACAAAATGTTAATAATATAAAGTTATGAAGAAAATTGTGTCAAAAAATATGAAGCTTAAAAATATATTTTAGTTGGATACAACATACACTTACTACGAATCTCTTCGTACATTAAACTCGCAAAGAAAATAGATTTATTTTTAAAATAATGTTATGATATTTTTATAACTGTTCTCTTTTTAAATACAAGTTGGTTCACTGATATGTTTTTAAGAAAACTCTATTTAAAGGTGGATCTTCAAATATTTTTTTTTTCCAAAAATAAAATCTTGGTAAATGTGAGTAGAAGGGTGCTTCAATTGGTATAAAAACTCAGTAATCGTAAATATGTGTAATATTTTCTTATTTTATTTACGAATAATAAATGAATGGCCCCAAACCACAATGAGAGTCTTAAAATGAAATAAACACAATAATATTCCATTAATAAAAACATGTTTCCTGGAACAGAAGCCTATATATTAAAAATAAAACACAACACTTATTTATTACATTCCTCAATCTCTGAATCTCCAACCATCCTCAAAATCCTAAACCTCAAAAGGCCGGTAACGCACTTGTAACGCCTTTGGTGTTCCATGGGTCCATGAACGACGCCGATTGCTTACCATTAGGTTATCCGTCTGCTCGTTTACCGGCTTATCCCTTAGAAAAACATACATGGTTTGCCGTGTTCCTAATTGTTGACTATCTTTATTCGATATCAATCTTTATTTATCACCTATGTTAGTACCTACTTACATTCATGCTTGTCTAAGAAAAAATGTGCAACACACTAGTACGTCACCGACACGGCTATATATTTCATAAAAAAGAAAGAAAATTAGTATAAAAAACGTAAAGACATTCCTTTATTTAAACAGCAACACAACATAACATTTCCCGTCTGCTTCTCCCAAATTCCTGGCAAACAGAATCTAAATAGTCGAATAATTTGGGACCATAGCTCGATGATTGACTACAGGCGATGCGAATCGATTTTCATCGGAATTGCAATCGGAAATACCGAATCAATTCGGCCAATTTCACGATGACTCGGGTGCCGGGTAAATGAATTCCGTTGATACTCACAGAACTGAGGAAATGTCGGTCTTTGTAACTATTTTCCTATAATCTCTCTTTGGTGACAAATTCGTACTTTCATGTGTATTATTTTTAATTGGTATGAAGTTGTGGAAGTAAATACAAGCGATTGTATAACTTCTACATATAATATGCTTTTACGAATGTGTAATAAATAGATCTGAGATTCATATACGTCTTGGTGATTGTGTTCAGCATTATGTACACGCATACTTAACAGATACTCTCAATTATTATGCAAGACTCCATAAGCGAATGATCTGAATAATTATTAACTTTCTTTTTCGTTTTGTTGCAGGCGGTCAAGCGCGGGGTTATTGGCGCCGCAGCTGGCATGCCAGTCATCATCACCAGCAGCGTCTGCGCCGGCGCCACCACTCCCCGCGCCCACGTCACCTCCCCGCGTCGTCTCCGCCCCGCCCGTGCCCACCCAACCACCCCCAGACCCCGCTCCCCAAGACCAGGAAGATGGCGTCAGATTACGGCGAACACATACGGTTGCTGTACGAGACTACCTCAAAAGGGAAACGCAGACGTTTTTCGGCGTTCAGAGGGATAATGAGAGGGAACAAAGACGGCTGTGGTATGAGAGGCGGAGGAGGCACGCGGCGCGGGCGCTCGGTGACCTCCGGCCCGACCTGCCACCGGATCATCATCCTGATGATGATGATATTAGGTAAGTAGCAACTAAAACATTTATTTTAACGTTTCGTTACATTGTATTAATTGTAACGTTACAGTAGATTAATTGTTACGTTACAAATACATTAATTTTCTTAACATATATTTTTAAAGTATTCTAAAGTTCTATTTGAAAAGTTGTGGATTAAAAGGTAAAGCTTAGTCACAACAACTTGCGATTTAAAAATTAATGATGAATAATTTTAAAGAATTATTTTTATTCGTAGCCATTTAAAAGCTAGACTGTAAAAAAACTGTAACTGTTAATGGATCTAGGCATAGAAAAAGCGAATTATATGACCTGTAGGTAGTCTAGTTATATCGATTAGGTATCCAAGGCCTGCATTGTATGAACCGATGTAATAAACCATTAATCAATATACCACCGAGTCACTAATAATGTTGTGCACAAACATAATGAACTCTATTGTTCAAAGTAATAAAATTAAACATTGATTGCACGTAGATTGTTATAATTTACTTACTTTATTATATTTGCTATTGAATGACCTACTTTAATATTAGCTTTGTACTACGTTATAGCGTTATGATTATTAAATAAATTGATTATGTGTTATAAATTTCTTAGCAACAAAAAATAGTTTTGTACCACATAATCATTGAAACACAGAGCATTGCTTGCCAAAGACCAGATGACTGCGCACGCTGCTCAAAGGCAAAGTCAAAGTCATAATTTTTTTTCAAATAGACCAGAAATGCACGAAAACATTTAAAAGTGAAGCTATTTGCTCATTCCAATATATAGGTTCCTATGGAGAAAAACAAGCAAGAAACTCAATAGATCATGAAGAAGAGTTCTGTCATCTGTTACTCGAAACTACTAGGGCTTTTCTCAGTATATTATTTACTTTAGTAAACAGTTATTTTTAGTTAATTCAGTATGTCTCACCGTAGTTATCATAAAAACAGATCAGATGTTAGCTAAAAGTGAAAAATTTAGATAAATTTGTATGCTGTCAATTGCAATGTATTAAACCTACAATAAAACAATGAAACTCGTATAACAGCACATCAAAACGATAACTACATATAATACGTATATGTATTTAAAATAATAATTAAATATTAATTATATCAATGTCATAATGACCCAACCGCCAGCATTTCCGAATAAATCATAAACGTATTGGTTTACGCACTATAAACCAATAACTTTGTTAATTGCTCATATGAACAGGTCAAGCATCATGTCAAATATAATTCAGAACTATATTAACTGTTATTAACGTATCACTAACTAATATTATAAAGAGGGAAGGGTTTGGCTGTCTGTTTATTGTTAACTCTTAGAGCTAAGGACTCACAGCGCGATCTTCTGCCGCGCCCGCCGCGGTGGCAGTATGGAGGCGGAATTTTCAATTAAATATACATTTTTATTCATTATATATAGATAAATAACCGAGATACCGACTGAATCTAAACTATTCCCAGATCCCCTTGAACACACACAAAAAATTTCATCAAAATCGGTCCACTCGTTTGAGGCAAGTTCAGTGACATACACAGTCACGGAAGAATGATATATATAGAAATAAAAAAGTAAAGATGGACTTAATATATGTATATATTTCTATGTACTAAGTAAAGAATGACTGAATAGATAACATGCATACATTACAATAATTTAATTGTCTAATACCTTATTTATTAATTTTGACATTACATTGATAGTAATCAAACAAAACGCCCTTCCTCTCTCCTACCAATTTTAAATGTAGCTGTGCCCGACAGGATCCATAATTGTTACTATTTTATTTTCTAACCACCTGTATATGTACATGTACATGTACGTGTCGTGGTGGCCCGGAGGTTTAAGACGCCCGCTTCTCACGTATGAGGGTGCAGGTTCGAAACCTACCAACGGCAAGTACCAATGTGACTTTTTCCGAGTTATATGTACTTTCTAAGATTATTTAGACACCACTGACAAACGGTGAAGGAATAACATCGTGAGGAAACCTGGACTTATAATTTCTAATTATAAGTTTGAAATCGCCAACCCGCATTGAGTAAGCGTGGTGATTAATGCTTAAACCTTCTCCGTGTGAGAAGAGGCTTTGCTCAGCAGTGGGCATTTATAGGCTGTTGATGATAATGATGATGATGTATATGTACATTGTGGATTTAATAAATACTTTATTATTCACGAGACCGCAGTTTTCTGCGATTCCGCAGCCGCTGGGGTTGCGATTATCACCCGCAAACTTGGCTTGGTGGTTGATTTTTAACATACATAAGTGTGTATTTTATTTATTGTTATTATTATATATTAAGTATTTATATTTATACTATATTTATTTATAATATAGTTATTATTTGGTTTAAGTTTTTTTTTTATACATATTTCTTATTTTTCTGTCACACACTGTGTCTTTTGTTTTAATTACATTTCCTGTCTCAGGTCTACTGGAAGAAATTCCAACAGGAATAAGTAGCACCTTTGTACTCTTATTTTATATATATGTGTGTGTTTGTGTGTACATAAATTATTAAATAAATAAATAAATAAATACATATCTGTGTTCTACAACAGCGGTGGGAGCGGGAGAAAACCATGCCGTGAGTCCTTGGCCTATCGCGTTCTCATCATCTACACAACCAATTTTCTTGATAATGCAAACAGTTGAGAGTACAAAGAAAGACATAAGCTAGGCGACTATCTATACTTATTTTAGTTTTGTGGTGTAGTACTGTTTTGATATTGTTTCAAATTAGATTAAAATTAATTGGTTTATTTCACAAATTCAGGGTTTAATACATTACTGTTTTCATGACAAAATCAATACTATGTATGTTTAAATCCATTTGACTGCCTGAATCCCCATAACTGCCTTGTTGGCCGAGTGGTCGCAAGTGCGACTGCCGGGCATGGGCTCTCGGATTCGATTCCCGGGTCGGACAAAGTATTACTGGGTTTTAAAAAAAATCTCAGTAGTAGCATGGAGTCTGGAATTGTGCCCGGTATATGGCAATAGGCTCACCCCCTATTACATGGGGCTCATAATATAAATAGTAAAAAATGGGTATTACATTGTACAGTGGTATTATGTGCACCTCTGTCTACCCCTTCGAGGATAAAAGGCGTGATGTTATGTTATGTTCCTTGATAAAACCACTGGCTGTAAGTGAAAAAAAAAAACAAAATGTGCGACATACGTTGATTTATCGATGAAGACTTTAATTAGAAGACTGGTATAAAACTACAACACTATTATCACTACACACAACTAAATTCATTCTACAGTAATACCAACACAATAATAGCGAGAAAGTTTCGTCTTGACACAGCCTTAAATCGTCCCGACGAGATTGATACAAAATTCAATTTCCTCGGAAGCAATCCCGCTTTGTTTTCCTCAAGAACTTACAGGGCATTCCCTAAGCCGTAGTTTTACAGATAACATGATTATATTTTTTATAAATGTACCAGGGATTAAATAATGTTATTTAAAATATCGTTGCTGCTGTAGAATTGTTATTTGTAAGAGTTTTGTGTTCATATCTTTAGTGATATTGATGTATTGTTAGTATCTATCATGCGTTTTGACATAACGAAGATGACAACAACTGTTAAAAGGATGAAAAATAATATGTAATCGTATGAAACGGAATTATAGGTAGGGTTCAAAAGTAAAGACACACATGCAATTAGAAAATACAATAATTTTAACCTACGAATTTAATAACACAGCTTTCGACACTCTACTTGATAAAATCAACTTATCAATTCACTTCATTTATCGACTATCTCTATTCCATTTACACAATCGCATCACTACAGCTTCACTAAATACTACAAAGCAGAATAATCCTGGTACAGTCGCCAACGGTTGCCAATACCGGCCAGTCTCCCCGGGATAATAAAATTAAACGTAACTATTCGCCGTCGCCAGCTGTGACGACACTCTTTATAGGCATTTTGTATTCTTGAGCGGAACTTAGTTAACTGGAGACAAGACAATTAGATTAGGCTCACTGCAATTAGGCTGGATTCGTTTTTTAAAAGGTGTAGGTTTGCTTAATTAGTTCTCAAATAAAAGAAAGACTTGTATTTTTGACAATTGTGTTAATTGTTAGGGAGATTTTTGGTATCTTGTCATCCTAAGTGGCGAGGGAAACCCGAGCGTACGGCGCGCCGCGTTCCGCGCGCGCCTCAAAGAGCCAACAAACCACCACGGCTAGGGCCCAACAGGGCTGATGCCGATATGGAGTCGCGGAGAACCTAACGGGTTACCGGGGCTCCGGCTCGAGGTGCAGGAGTAGGAACGGGGTGGTTTATAGTCAGTAAGAGTCTGAGACTCCCTCCCCACCTCACCCAGGCGGGAGCAATCATTTGATGATTTTCCCGCCTTAAAAAAAAAGTGTTGAGGGGAAACTGATGACAATATTGCTTTGTGAAAAAATAAAAAAAATAATTTATATCTAAGTACTGAAGTCTTTGCTTACCTCAAACTTAACCAAGAAACTGACTAGTAGAAAGATTTCGTTAATTAATTACAGCTGGTCATGCATTTACAAGTTTTCAATTATATTTTCTCATAAATTAAAGCTGTTCAAGCTTTACGGTGGAGAATCATAATTATGCTGAGTGCACAACTTTAATTATCTCTATGGCACAAACAATTCCAGCAAACGGCCATCGTTAACTGCACATTAAAGTACCAGGGCATCATAACGTTAAGGGGTGTCTAACTGAGGAAGTAAGTCATACAACAGTGAGTTGTTTACCCGCCGGGACATCCGGGCGAGGCAACCTTATTAAAGCTCTTGTTAATTCTTGGATCCTGGTAGTTCGACTTTAGACGTTACGATATTGTACATTAGTGTTAAATTTACATTTGTTGGGATTACATGATCGAAGTTTGGAATTAGGATGTATGACGTCTGTTGTAATAATATGTAGCCTGAAGTAATTTGAGTATATTTGCTTAAGTATATGGTTCGTGTGTGATTTAAGTTACATGGTGATTCGTTAAGAGCGTGTGGTAATTTCTACATTTTATTTTTAGTTCAGGTTGACTTATTTAGTAAAGACAACTGGAATTGCATCTACGCAAATATTATCTCAATACTACTTCTTGATTCGGCGATCAACTTCGTCAGGTATATCCTTTATCGCAATTACAACCAATGAGGAAGTCAAATCACGAATTTTATTTTTGTTTTCAACACACCAGAACCGAATTCGACTCGCATTATGAAATCAGCTGTACCGAAAATACGGATTTCCGTATAATGTTAAAGTAGGTATAATTTTAGACACGGTGGTACTTCGAACCTGAATCCGGGGGAAGTTTGCTCGAAATAAGCACTTTTATTGGCGTCGTGCACTTTAGCAGCACAAAGGATTTTGTTAAACTCGTTGAGTTCGACTGTACGTGGTCGAGGAAACGTCTTGAGTGAGCTTATCGATATTTCGTTCCCTTCCTTCTTTGTAGACTTTAAATATTTGGGTGCACTCCTCTTGAGACGATTTCCGCAAAAGTACCGATAGAACCTTGACGATTGCCTCTTAAAATTATCGATTTAACTTTTGTAAAGAAATAAGGTATTCTAATAACGATTAAGTGACTATTGCCTGATATTGAAGGCCTATTTCTATAATTGAATAGGTACTAGGACTAGTTTAAACATAGAACCAGGCATTCGTATCTCTGAGTTCGTGAACAAGAAAATGGTTTTAAAGATAAGAAATGAAAGGTCATAGCAAGCAATCTATCTATACGTAATAACCTATTACATACAAACAATACATCTATTAATATTTGCGAATCAAGAAGCAAATAATAGCTTCCATCCCATCCCATTATCCGGACGTTCTATTTATAACTTAAGTACACAATAACCGAAACACACAAGAGAAAATAGCTCTTAGCTAACAAAAGTTAAAGTGCAAATTTCATAAAACAAAGCACATACATATATCAGAAAAATATATGTGCTCAAAGAATATTGTGGTAGTTGTTTAGAATATTTCTCAGTTTCTCCTATATGTCGATGCGCGATATTTATTTGACGTCTTTCATAAGTTACGTCTGCAATGCCAGTATTGAGCTGAAAATTGAATGTAAAATAAATTCCTTTCCAAGTATGGAATACGTTAGTGTGGAATTTTAAAATGTTTCTCGTTCTTTGTGTCGATTCTTTGCACGTTTTTCCGTTGGTATTTTAAATATATATGGAGCGGTTTGTTTACGGTGTATGTTACGTTCGTATTTGTTGGTGTATTGAATAATGTCTTATTTTGAATGGCGAATGATATTTCAATGATCTGGAAATTAGTTGGTTAAGTCTTCCTCGATAAATCAACGTGTGTAGCACATTTTGTTTTTTTTTCATTTACAGCCAGTGGATTCATCAAGTAACATATCATAATATCACGCCTTTTATCCCCGAAGGGGTAGGCAGAGGTGCACATTATACCACTGTACAATGTAACACCCACTTATTCACTATTTATGTTATGAGTGCCATGTAATAAAGGGTAAGCCTATTGCCATATACCGGGCACAGTTCCAGACTCCGTGCTACTACTGAGATTTTTTTAAACACCTCGTAATACTTTGCCCGACCCGGGAATCGAACCCGAGACCCCTTGCCCGGCAGTCGCACTTGTTACCACTCGGCCAACGAGGAAGTTATTTTTTATTTTTAGATAGGAATAGTTTAAAACGCCATACAACATTAAATCTATTTTGTTTTCGTCCCGAAGTAAAATGGTTCTGTCTTGGTAATACAATATTTTTGCAAAGATATTAAATGTTTGAAACAAAAATAACTGGTGAAACATCGCAAAAAGCAAACTTTGAAAGTGAATACGAACTCATTATCAACACATCAAGCCATGTAAGCTTCACTTCTCGAAGGGGTATTTCTCGTTAGTGGCACGTGCGATGCGAATAGTGCCTAAAAATTTACGTCCAGGGTTTAATCTTCGTATTCCATCACATTTTTTTGAACTAAAAAATTAGAAAGAAAGAAGAAAGAAAAACCATTTATTTTTGCGCAAAACACACATAACATAACCAAAAATAAAAATAAAATAAAATAAAAGTTAAAAATATAAAATGAAGTGAAGTCTTGTCCATGGTCCACAGACTTATTATTTACGGAAATTATAGAATACTTAATATCTAACATTATCTGTGGACCATAGACAAGGACAAGGACAATAAACAATTACATTTTTGTTTTTTGATTTCTTATTTATCTATTATTAAAAGTAATCCTTATAGCAAGTTGTTTGGCTGCGGGATAAAACGGGAAAAAAATCATGGTGTATATTTGAATTCAAAAATATGTTAACATTGCAATAGGCATACAAAAATATATTAAGACACAAAAAACACAATTTCCTTTCTTTGTTTAGAAAAGTTAAATCGTAAAGATTTTGTTTGATATTTCATTTAAATCTTCCTTTGACTGTGTTTTATAAAGCCAAGGATATTTTGTGAAAATCAGATCAGATGGTTTTCCTGTTTTTACAAAAAGATTTTAACTTAGCAAAATTCTATATGTTTTTAAAGGTTTTATTTAGCTTAAACTGTTTATTTGACGTTCAAGTTGCAATTTGTCTTTAAAAGGATGATAAAACTTAAAAATACATATATTTGCAGTCCAATTAATTAACTGTTAAAATAACTAACTTAACAGAATTAATCAGTGTCCTTGAATTCTAACTTATTTATTACCTTTACAATACAATGAATACCGATAACAAAATTAAAAATAAGTTTAATATGGTTATTACTTCCCGCAGTATGTACGGAGCGTCGGGCGCAGCACCTAGGGAGGCGCGGGGGCGGGCGCGTGAGCGGCCCGACGTGTTGCCTGCGCCGGCGCCGCTCGAGGAGCCCGCGCCGCCCTCCCTCCCCCGCCCGGGAAAGGACAGTGTGGCGCGGCTCACGCTTACCGGGCTTTCTTATGTTGTTACTGTAAGTATTATGATTTTTAAATTATTAAATTGTATTCAATGCTATAAATACAATTAATGAAAACACATAAATTAAATGAGACAAACAAGTAGTGAGTTTGCAAAATTAACGTTGTTACTGCTAGGTATGTTTTTGTGAGAGAACTTATAAATCTATGATACAGTAATTCATTTCCAGTACCAGATTTATTGTTTTATTATATCTCTACTGGACAGTTCTTCGTCGAAATTGTCATAAACAAACCTCTGGGCTTTCCATTGCAAAACTCTTAGATTTTTTTCATTTGTATAAATCTAAATCTCATGAAAATCATAAAAAGTATCAAATATTTTATCTTCAAATGTTTACTTAGTAGAAATCATTTCATATTAATGTATACAGTCATAAATATTATATATGGCGTCCTTCTGGCGATACGTTTCATTATTGATGAACGACATACAGCTTTTACCTATAGAAATTCCAATAAAACCATAAAGGGAAATCAGTGACACATAAGTGTACTTTAAGTATTTTTACGTAGTCTTTATTTTTGAGTGATACTACCTAAACTGAGAAATAAAGAAGTGGGTGATTGAAGTTAGTCAATTGTTTAAGTTAGACTATAGATAAATAAGACTTATGCCGGAATACTGAAACATTACTCAATTTTAAGTCGTGCTTAAATATCGTGCCATCTCTGTTATTTTACAAAGAATTTGTAGAGACAGAACTATACTTAAGCACGTCTTAAAATTGAGTAGCGTTTGAGTATTCCGACATTAGATGTTACCTGGTTGTAGAGATTTTTGGAGGGATAGGCAGGTATTGCCCGAATACTGAAACGTTACTCAATTTTAAGTCGCGCTTAAGTATAGTTCTGTCTCTACAAATTCTTTGTAAAATGACAGAGACAGCATGATATTTAAGCACGACTTAAAATTGAGTAACGTTCAGTATTCCAGCATATGCCCCAAACAAAAATTGTTATATTTAGAGACGCTTCGGTTGGGTTAAAATAAGGTCGTAAATGTTAACGTTTAACTAACCGAACCAAAAGTCAAAATAAACAAAACCTTCAAAACAGTTATTTACCACCTCTAACAACGATGACACAACACAATACAATACAACAAAAAAGCGGATTTTCCCATTGCAAAATTTGCACGACGCCGATGATTTTATTTCCGACATTCTAGAATATTCGATAAGAGAGGAACGCGGGGACATCGAGTGTCACGTACCGGTAAGAGCCAACCTTGTTATGATAATAACTAGTGTTCGTGCTACTAGACGTGACGTGTTCGCCAATAGTGGAGTTGTAGTACCGTTTAATGTTTACGACACTTAGAAAGGGATTTATTGTGTTTTTATGTCGTGGGGAATGAGGTCAATGACTCTACTGTGATGTATGGCTTTTTTGGTGGCAATCGACAGTCTAGGTATATTAGGTATTTACATAATATTGTGATTTAAAATGATAAGTTTGCTATTCACTGTTTTTGGCCAATGAAACCAGAATTTTTCGTTTTCATTAAAATCAGACAGTATTTTTGTTTGTCTAGTAAATACTGAACTAGTATTGCTTGACTTATCCATAAAAAGCTATCATACTTATTATATTTATATTCATAAACAGTATCAATATTTTTCTTTTATTTGTACAAACAGATTTTCTTTTACTAACACCTTTTTCAATCATTTCTTTGACTAAAACCTCTGAAATCCATTGTTTAATATTTTAATTTCAGCCGCCTAGCCAGAAACTTTACGACCTAAGTTTAAAGCTACTATTGTATTCAGAAAGCCTACACAGACTAGTATTTACAATCAATGAAAGAGTGACTCAAAAATCCCGAATTCCATTCAAATAATTTCAGTATTTCAATAAAAACTGCTCAATTGGAACACATTTAATATCTATTGGAATTGGCTTGTCAATTTAACTAGAATTTAAATAACTAATTCTTATTTCAATACGGTTGCTTTTTAGTTGGCATTCTACTTCGTTTCTACAATTCTTTATTGGTAGTCTACTTGAATACTGATTGGTTCTTGATGAGAGATTGAGAAATGGCTGTCAAGAGTCAGCTGTTTTTTGAAATATATAGAGCGGCTGCTATACCATTTAGTTGGTTTTAAAACTCTTATTCATATTTTAAATTTAACATCTTCAAAATGTTATGTCGAAGTACTTTCAGGTGGATTAACATACGATTAACCTCATGCTCATTTCGACTAAAGGTCTTCCAACGTACCCATTATGTTGTTGCTGGATTAAATAAATTTCACCCGAAAGAACTGGAGTAAAAAAGACTTACCTGCTTTTAGAAAACGCTAAATGCAAACCTAGCGTAGGAGCTAAGTAATATGTATAATACAGCATGAAATTATGATAATTCAGTGGCACAGCAACACCACTTACGACCACAGGTGGCATAGTTAGCCGGTAACCCAGTTTCACGCGTTAACCATTTAAAAGTTGACTACATATCTCAACAGAAAAGTTGTTCTGGTTGTTTTAACTATGCTAAAAGCACTTGCCGGCCGCGTGAAATCCTAAACCAGCGCACACAAGGTTTAATGGACCGCCCTATGTGTGCCCGGAGACTTATAAATACACGCCGCATTATGTACCATGCCTCATGATAAAATTTCGTATGTATATACAGCTCTATATATATACGTTTGTACCAGATTTTGACTCGAATTGGGTCGCCAATTTCAGAGGGATGAGTAATTTATAGGTTAGTTAATTTTGATGTAGTTTATATAAATGGTTCTACTGACCTATATTATGTGGAGGATCTCGATAATCTGATGATTGGTGTTGCTCTAAATCATTTGATTAGTCTGTTGTTGAGTTTGATAGGTGATTAAATTGATAACGTAAAATATGGTTGAGATAAATTAAGAGATATGTTTTATTATAGTATTCCAGGTCTTGATTGTAAATGACACACCTAAGTAGTATATATGTTTATAGTATAATATAACCTCTGTTATTCGTGGGCAAACCGAATATAATTTTCATGAACCATTCACCTTTACACGCAGAAAATGAAATGATATTACAGCAGGGAATTCGTCTGAGTCTAGCATATCAATTAAGCTTATATTAAGGTCTAAAATTACGTTTCCCAAAATCAATTCTGTTAGACAAATTATAAAGATATTCTCCTGTTTCCTAATTTAATTTTGGTACTTTTCGTAAATTGAATTACTTGTTACAAGTACCTCCGTTCTCCTTACAAATGAGGTACAGACACAAATTAGCGAATATTTTGGAGGTACATGAATGAACTGAAGAAATTACTAATGTAATTATTTTATGACATACAAAATGTGGTCTGGTTTCAGACTCTAATTAGTAAGAACTGTACCTACAATGTAGTAGATATAATCTATTGTTATACTAAATGATAAATTGTCTATAATATTTCTGAAGAGGTAAGTAGACTTCTATTATTAAGAACTTCGGTATAGTGATGCGAAGAAATTATTTCGATGCAGTCAGTACTGTAGTCTGATAGTAAAAAAGTATATTAACCGAAAGACATACTAAAATAAATAGTAAGTCGATCATCTATTCAGGATTTAAGCTACGTATAATTCAAAATCATATCACGCTCAGCCAACTCCACTTCGTGGCTACGCGACGACTACGGCGTAGCCGCGTAGCTCTCGTAGCGCGGAACTTACTACATAACTAATAAGATTAACTCTGTGTATTTATTACGAACGTTATCTGTAATGTTATGTTATTCTATGCTCACTTTATATCATTGTCTGAGTAATGAAACAAACACAACGCTGCGACAGTATTCACTGGAGAGCTAGGCAGGGTTAGCCACCATGCTGTGGTGGCTACACGTATGTATATAATACAATTTTGTTAATTGTGTAGTTAACATTCTACAATGGATTCATTACTACAATGGATTAAAAGAAAATTTTGCAAATGAGACCAAGTTAGCGTTCCAAGATATAAATCGATCGAAATAATTTTCATACACAATAATTATAATATGATTATCATTACCGTCGTTTAAAAGTAGTTGTCGTAGTGGCTCGAAGGTTTAAGGCGCCAATTTAACTTTTCCAAGTTACATGTACTTTCTAAGATTAGGCATCACTGACAAATGGTGAAGGAAAACATGGTGAATAAGCCGGGGCTTATAATTTTTAATAATTATAAGTTAGAAATCACCAACCTTCATTGAGCAAGCGTGGTAATTAAAGCTCAAACGTTCTCCACGTGAGAAGAGGGCCTTGGTCAGCAGTAGACACATATAGGCTGTTGATGATGATGATGATGATAAGTATGCTTATTAATTACACAACTATTAACAAGACAAGACTTGAGAATCCTCTAAATTCTTTATGCATATCCTTGATCAAAGAGACACGAAGGACCGTACAACTATTTCCTAATAGGGACAAGCAAAACGATAGGTAACTCATAACGTATGGCCCTCCTATATCGAAGCAGTATTATATTATACGAGCGGACGAATTAGACCGCGATATTTCAGAGCAATAAATTATAAAAGTGATGTCTTTCGGGTTGAGGCGGCCTTTATGGGGTCGTAAATAATATAGGAGCCCCCCTTTTCCGGCAATATCCCAAGAAAGGAACTAGTCAGACTACAAACTACTGCTTCCTTAAACCGGCTGACGTGCACGGTCTCAGTAGCCATGTTTATTGCGCTTTTCGAGGGGCTTATGAAAATTTGGAGCGATTTCGTGGGAAGAGGTTTATAGGAAAATATTTGGCAAATTGGGATTTTTTACTTCAAAGAGATTTGGATGGAGATGTAGGTCATTTGGTCAGTTTGATGACATGATTTGATATAAGAAATGTATTTTGCATTTGAAAAATAAACTGTTTGAAATCCATAAACTCCATGTTGTGTTTCGTTGTGTGAGTGAGGGTACCGGAGACCAATTACCCCCTCAATCAACCCCAACAATCCTCAAATTCCTAATCCCAAAAGACCTGTAACGCACTTGAAACACCTTTAGTGTTCTAGGTGGCCATGAGCGACGCCGATTGCTTACCATTAGATGATGGGTCTGCTCGTTTACCGACTTATACCATAAAAAAAGGTCGCAAAAGGCAATGAAACGTTTAGTTATCTATAACAATTAAAATGTTAAAATTAAATTTAATAATTTATCACATCATACTATTTTAGTATCACAGTTCCTATTTAAAATTCAATTTCCCAGTTAGCGCAGTGGTAAGTCTGTATAATTGTTGCGACAGTTGAAAAGCTAACGACCAAATCTATTCAGTGAGTCCCGTTTGCAACTTTATAGTAGTATCACTGAATTTGTCACTGAAATGTTTATTGTACTCTGCTGTAATTGTATGCTTCACTGAAGAAAATTTAAATTTTTGTGTCCTGTTTCTATGACAATTATTGCATGGGTTATACAAGTATACATTATATGGAACTTATAAGCTGTATTTGTCTTGAAGATGTTATTACAGTATTTATTTAAAAATTGTATTGGATTTTTTTTGTGTATTGTAAAGATTTTTTTCTTTATTTTTGATATGCCGTCGAAAGTATTTGTTTCTGTAAGAAAATATAACATACGTATACGTATCTATCAGACGGATAAATAAAAATTAGTCAACCCTATTTTGCATAGGTAGGTTTATCTACTAAATATATGTTGACATTTTCATTGACCCATTTTAGACTTTGAAACATTAATAATATTATTTTGAACACGCTTCTAGTTTACTGCTCTGTGACACGATATTTTGATAGCACTCATTAACAACTTAATAATTTATGATTCTTGGAAAACAATGAATTTTATTACCAAAACTTTTAAAAGTATAATTTATTTACAGTTTTTTTGGCCGCCCTCTTGGTCTAGCGGTCGCTTGAATTGCCAAAATTTATGTATTGTGTTCTATTTTTTTGGACAATTAGGGTTTAAATTCTTTACGAAAAATATAATGACCGCTTCTATGATCTTGTGGAGATTATGGTAAATAGGAGGAGGATCCATCTATGTGGGAAAATGTGATCTTGTACATTCGTACATTTTTAAAATAATCCCAACCAAAAAGAAAATAGGCTGATATCTTTTTCCTTAAGAGAGTAACTGACAAAAAGATTCAATCAACGTCCATTTCTTTTTCCGCTATGCTGAGTAAAAGAAAAACAAAACACGTCCCTGATTTCCTTTGATTGTCGTCAAGAATTTTTGCTATGTTTTAATAGATTATGGATAAGGATTTTTATAGGTTACCACCACTAAACCTCGGTTCGTGGTTATTTCTAGTTTGATGTAAAGACAAATGTGTTTTATTATTTTTATTGTGATATCATTGTGGGTATACAGAACTTATATTTTCAAATGAAACTAAATTGTTGATAAAACCAACGTTTATAGATTCTAGAGTAGGTAAAATAATCTTTAAACATTAAAGACTTTTAACTAAATGTCACAATTTAAAGTTAGACGTTAAAGTTTTAACTGCATGTTAAAACGTCAATATTGCTGACTAAATTGGAGATAAAACATAGCTAGCATTTGCTAAATACCTATACCTAAAATAGTAGTTCATTTACCTTACTTACAATTTACTTTTTTCTCAGGCGGTGACGCGGCGGTCGCGTCAATCGACGTCGGCGCAGTGGTCGAGATCATTCCGCGGCACTGCGCCCATGCACGATGAAGTTGACGTCGATGACGTGTTCTTCGCACCACCGACTTCCACCACGCCTCTGCAGCATCATGAAGATGCTGATACTGTTGACGGATCTAAGGGGTGAGTACCTTATTTTTACTGAGAAGCATTAGGGATTTGTAAGGGAAGTTAGTGAAAGTCAACAAGTGATTTCAACTTTTTAGACACTATCAATGTATGTTTAATTTAGCTATTATTCGATTTAGAATAGAATGTAGATAATAATAAAATAATAATAAGGAGGACTTTTCACAAAGCGTGGGCGAGGCAAAAAATACTTTTAAGCTCTTATTTGATAAGCGCCTTATTTCTCGTCATTATTCATGGGAAGTAGTAACGTGCCTGTTTGATAAATTAATACAAAAAGATTATAATGAATTCATCACTATCTAAAAATAAACCACATGAGTATGAGAACATTGGTTCTAGTAAATTTCGTAAATTGGTTTTCGAAGTATTGACTTCGAAAACCAATTTACTTTCCATTCAATCAACTCAAGCCACACATAGAATGCAAAAACATGACATAACATCACGTTTATTATCCCCGAAGAGGTAGGCAGAGGTGCATACAGAAGTAACACCCACTGTTCACTATTTATGTTATGAGTCCCACGTAATAGGGGAGGAGCCTATTGCCATATACCAGGCACAATTGCAGAGTCCGTGCTACTACTGAGATTTTTTAAAAACCCAGTAATACTTTACCCGAAAATAGAACCCGACACCCCTAGCCCGGCAGTTGCACTTGCGACCACTCCCAACGAGGTAATACCAAAACAAAAACACATTAATCAAATTACTCCACTCCTGTTAAGTTAAATAATTCAAAGATTCTATGTAATAATGTAGTGTAATACTAAAACTTGGTAACTAAAGATGAAGCTGTAACAGCGGCATGAAGGTGATACTAAGTAAACCACGTGAAGTTGTTGAAGTTTGCCTAATAATCCTGCTCGGAGCAGATCTTGTGCTGTTGCGAGACAGATTAATTACCTCGTTTATTATATACAGCATCGTGTGGGGACTTTATCATCTGCAATTTATTACTGAGGTTTATTTTTGTGTATGCTTCTCTTGTTAAATCTAGTTGTTGTTTTTTTAGTGGTTTATAGTAACGTAAAAGGTAGTGTGAGTTCTGACCACGTTCTGACTTATAGTACAAAATATTTTCATATATTGTATAGATTTTTTTATGCTATAAGCCGGTATACGAGTATAAGGATCACCTGATAGTAAGCAATCGGCGTCACCCATAGACACCTGGAACACAAGAGGCGTAATAACTGCGTTACTGGCCTTTTGGGATTAGGAATTTGAGGATTGTTGGGGATTCAGAGATTGGGAAAAGGGGGGAGGGGTAATTGGGCCTCCTTAAGTTCGTCGTCGTAAGTTAATGAGTTGTTATGTTTTGTTAGTTATCTTTATCGCAGTCTTTACTGGTAGTGGTTATAAACTTTACTTACTGAAGAAACCATTACGGCTAAGCCCAATTACCAGGATAATGGCTGCATCTTATATCTTTGACATATCGCCGTTGATGGTAGCTCACACGGCTTATACTTTCTTTATCAATTCGGTTTTAGCATGTTGTAATGAATTCATTATGTATAAAAATCTATTAGGTACTATTTATTAGGTAGGACTGCTTCGTTGGCCAAGTGGTCGCAAGAGCGACTGCCGGGCAAGGGGCCTCGGATTCGATTCCCGGGTCGACCAAAGTATTACTGGGTTTTAAAAAAATTCTCAGTAGTAGCACGGAGTCTGGACTTGTGCCCGGTATATGGCAATAGATACACCCCCTTATACATCGGACTCATAACATTGATAGTAAAAAGTGGGTGTTACTTCGTACAGTGGCATTAAGTGCCCTAATGTGCACCTTTGCCTGCTACGGGGATAAAAGGCGTGATGTTATGTTAATCTATTAGGTACTTATGTCAGTATATTAAAAACTACAGACGTTAACGTTCATTTGATTAATTAAATGATAACTTATTACTTTCTTCAAAAGCCTAATTAGTTTATTTTGGTATTAAACCTTGAACTTTTTACCCTGAGCTTATAATTATAAAGAAGTACGTAGCGTTAAAATATTTTTTTTTTGTAGATATCGATTATGGCCAGTTTTGAACCGTCATAAAACGTTACGTAGCCATCATTTTGGGATCCTATTGTCATAAAATTACATGACAAAGAATGTCTTTTATGACCACTAAATTATGACGTCACCATTTGGCTGCTACTAAACATTTTTTATAACATTAGGAGTTGTTATTAGGATTGTAACTATATGGAGAAAACGAAGATTTCCTTTCAAGTTTAAACACATTTTACTGATGTGTTAATTTATATTTCTTTTATTTAATAGGAATTGAAAAACTTAAAGCCTCGTTGGCCGAGAGGTCGCAAGTGCGACTGCCGGGCAAGAGGCCTCGGGTTCGATTCCCGGGTCGGGCAAAGTATTACTGGGTTTTTAAAAAAAAATCTCAGTAGTAGCACGGAGTCTGGAATTGGGCCCGGTATATGGCAATAGGCTCACCCCCTATTACATGGGACTCATAACATAAATAGTGAAAAGTGGGTGTTACTTCTGTGTGCACCTCTGCCTACCCCTTCGGGGATAAAAAGGCGTGATGTTATGTTATGTTGAGAAACTTAAATAATTTGTTATTATAATTATTATCATAACATCTAGAGAAAACAGATCTCCTTTTATGTATTGAGGAATGAGGTTCTGTGAAAAAGTCGTCGTTTATTTTGATTTTTTTTATAGATTTTAATATAACTTGTAGAATAGATACCGATAGTGCGGCATGTCACTTTAATCTTTCAAGTTACAAACTCGTCAGACAAACGTTGAACTCTCGAAACTTTTATTTTCGACTTTGTGCTAATCATAATTGATCACATTTTTGCAAAGCTAACGATTTTAGTTCTTAAACTAATCATTGATGTTTCATGAACTCAGCGGTTTTTCAATTTAGAATCGCTTTTATTTTTTTTATTTGTAATTAATTTTAAAGTTTTGTCCATTATTTTTTATTGCTTTCAATACAAATTAGACTTTTCTTTTTCAAATTTATGAATAGCGTCATCTATCATCGTCATCGGGCACAACTCCAGACTCCGTGCTACTACTGAGAATTTTAAAAAACTCAGTAATACTTTGCCCGATTATGATTATTTATGATATTACTGCCTCATTGGCCGAGTGATCGCAAGTGTGACTGCCGTGCAAGGGGTCTCGGATTCGATTCCCGGGTCGGGCAAAGTAATATTGGGTTTTAAAAAAATTCTCAGTAGTAGCACGGAGTCTGGAATCGTGTCTGGTATATGACAATATGCTCACCCCTATTACATGGGACTCCTAACATAAATAGTAAAAGGTGGGTGTTACATTGTACAGTGGCATAATGTTCACCTCTGCCTACCCTTCGGGGATAAAAGGCGTGATGTTATGTTATGTTATGTTGTTTATGATATTAGTAGAATTATAGTTGTTTACACAATAAAGGTCACATTAAGGACAAATTCAATTAATATATTGGTTCTAAGTTAAAACAATTTACTTAGATAGAAGTGACAAGTTAGAGTCTAGAATAAATATGGTTGTATCGATATGATTATAACTGATGGGTTGAAGTTTCAATCAATCAATTTTAATAAGAGCTTGAATATTGTGTCGATGTGATAATATCGATAAGTATCTAGTTAATTAACAACGTTGGCAATTTCAATTTCGTTCAACTCATGTATGAAATCAAGTAATCAAACGAGTCACACAGAAATCGGACAAGTTCACGTGAAAATACACAAGAGGTTCTGTATCGTAAGAAATAACACGATTATTTAATACGAAATATTTTGAATTGCATTTTTTTCTTTGTTTATTTGAATTTAGAACATTTGGCAGCCAGCATGTTTTATTAGATTACGACTACTAATGAAAAAATCTTAGAGGGCCTCCACTTCACATAACATAGCATAACATTACGCCTTTTATCCCCGAAGGGGTAGGCAGAGGGTTACATTATGGCACTTAATGACATAACATAATATAACATCACGCCTGTTATCCCAGAAGGGGTAGGTAGAGGTGCAAATTATGGCACTTAATGCTCTGTACAATGTAACACCCACTTTTAACTATTTATATTAAGAATCCCATTGTAATAGGGGGTGAGCCTATTGCCATATATCGCGCACAATTCCAGACTCCGTGCTTAGTAGCTCGAAAAAATACCCAGTAATACTTTGCTCGATTAGAGATTCGAACCCGAGGCCTCTTGTCCGGAAGTCCCACTTCGACCACTCGCTCAACGAGGCAATGGCTCGACTTACATTATTTTTTATTACTGCATCGTAATGACTAACGAATATATTTGTTCTGATAAAACTTCTATCAAGAGTTTAAATATGTGTATTAGTAAGTGTGTAAATATCTTACTTCTTCTATTTTAAGAATAAAAAATCTGCCAGTTTCTGAATCAAATTGATATTGTAATAATTTCACAAAATATCGAATACTTAATAAAAGGGTTCTGTTGCGTTCAGTACCCCAAAAATTTCACTCGAGTTAATGACCGCTCGCCCGGTCAATAGTTCAATGAAGTTTAAAAATAAAGTTAAATTAATTACATCTATTATTCTCTTTATACGATATGTTTTAAAAGCGTGTTGTATAGGGTTTAATGTTAAAAATAAAATATCATATTGCTATATAATTATACACGATTTCTCTCAGTCAAAATAAATTGTCAGACAATTTTAATTTTAGTAGGCGGTATCCAAAATAATCGTAGAATTATCTTTCTCACTACATTAATTTGAAAAGGTTTTTATGGGTAAACAAGCAGACGGATCATCTGATGGTAAGCAATCGGCGTCGCCCATGGACACCCGGAACACCAGAGGTGTTATAAGTGCGTTACTGGCCTTTTAGGGATTGGGAATTGTAGGATGTTTGCGGGTTTCAGGGATTAGGGAAATCGGGGAGGGGGGCAGGGCCTCCGGTAACTTCAATTACACGACGAAACACAACGCAAGTGTTGTCTCACGTCGGATTTCTGTGAGACCATGGTTTCGTTCCGGTCGAGCCGGACCATTCGTGCCGAAGCATGGCTCTCCCACACTTATAACGTTATACTTATTGAAGTGAGCTGCGCGACGTCGCCGCGACCGCACGCTGCTCATGAGGAAGAACTCCTCAGTGGTTCGGAACTAGTAGAGCTTTTCTCAGTATAATCTCGTGAGTAACCCGCGATTTTAGTTAATTTAGTATGTCTCACGATAGTTATTATAAAAACATATTATTAAATCTACTAAACATGTTGTGCATTGAAAATGTAACAATGTTAAAATAAAGAAAGTCGTAACAAAAATGTTAAGTTTCAGGGTTTGGTACCATTTTCATATGTTTTTCTTTTTACTTGTAAACCCATACACGACGGCTAACTAAAGGAAAACTCTTTTCCATGTATGTATGTAGGTACGTCGTATGAAAGCAAATAAAAAACAGACGGCTCGTCGCGCATGCGTTCTTTGCAAGGGTATCAGTCCCAAATCTTTGTGACAAGGGTTTGTGATCGGAGATTAAATCTTCGGACTATGCTGACATACGTACCGTATATACATACAAATACTCTATAGTAATGTGAAGATTTGTATTTCATGTTTTAGTATTAAAACTATAGGTACCTACTTATATTTTATGATGGTCCATTTTTTTTAAGGGGGAAAATCATCGAATGACTTCTCCCGCCTGGGTGAGGCGGGAGGAAGTGTTAAACTCTTACTGACTTTTTCATTTTGGATTTTATTGGTTACTTTTTAAGTATCAGTTGTCTAGTTATTTAATATTAAACCCGAAGTCTCATGTTAGGTCATTTATACAATAAGACAACTTAATGTTTATTATTTTTGACTGCCTCGTTGGCCGAGTGGTCGCAAGTGCGACTGCCGGGCAAGGGGTCTTGGGTTCGATTCCCGGGTCAGGCAAAGTATTACTGGGTGTTAAAAAATTCTCAGTAGTAGCACGGAGTCTGGAATTGTGCCCGGTATATGGCAATAGGCTCACCCCCTATTACATGGGACTCATAACATAAATAGTGAAAAGTGGGTGTTACATTGTACAGTGGCATAATGTGCACCTCTGCCTACCCCTTCGGGGATAAAAGGCATGATGTTATGTTATGTTATGTTAATATTTATTATTTATATATTTGACAAAGCATTTTTGGAGATTTTAATAAAACCATCAGCTTTTTGCTACTGTACAAGAAAAAGTCTGTTAATTTTTGCCATAAAGTTTACTGTTTTTTTGGGAAACGCACCACTTGGATGATTTGCATTTTTATGCAAAATCAAGAACGAAAAAACCGCCACAATTTGATTACTTATTTTTAAAAAAACTTTAAATCAGCCCCCACTTGACCAGTGGCGTTTTAACTCTATATGGATGACATTCGACCAATTCAAAACATAAAATAATAATGGTTCCGAAAAACAAATAAATCTACAGCAATCTGTGGCCGACTATAAAAAAAAGATCTTAGAAAAACTAAACTTCTGAAATATGACACCTCCGATAAAATTACTAAGATACCGACAACAGAGGTTTTACATAGGTTAGGTTTTCAGTAGAACGTAGTGTATGCTGGTAGTAAAGTATTATAGCAATAAACAGTCATGTTTATTTTTTGAAGTATCTCATTCGGTCGTTTCGTAATTTTTATTCGGACAACTGTAGTCGGAATGGTAGTATTTTAGGCAGTAGATTGGTAGATAGTATTTTGAGTAAGGACAATTCTTCTTTTTGGTCGGAGCTAAAAAAACTAGCCCATACTTTAAATTTTCTAAAAACTCGTTCAACTAGCTTTTCAATGCCATTATACTAAAGATACACAAAGTAAAATAATCCCTAAGGATCAAATAATAAGAATCCAAACAGCCAAATACATAATTACAATCTAAAGTGAAACCCAAGTAATTCACGTTTATTATTCACACTTTTAAAGATAAGTGGTTGTACGTGGAAGACACAAAAGTAATTAATTTTTTTTATTTTATCAAAGAACTGAATTTGCTTTAGAAAAGGCTCTTCTTTGATCTTAATGAATTTATAATGTAATTATGGAGAGACCATTATCACGTTTTTAATTGCTTGCATAGGTACCTTTATGTACATTTTGTTATTCTATTAAGTCGACTTCTCTAATGTTTTTTAAACCTTCAAAATTTTTATTTTTCATGATTTTTTAGTTAAAGTCTGAATCGTTATTTTATATAGATTGACAATCTCTTTTCAAACGTTAATTGGATAAACTTTTGTCGAAAATCTGATTTATGTATTATAGGAGTTACGCATTTTAGTATAAATTCCAGGTACATCAATATTTACAAATAATAATATCTCACACAGTTAAAATTGAATTTCAAAATCAGCATTAATTATTGAAAGAAGTTTTGAAATGTCCAAGTTTACAAATGAGTTTGTATTCTAATATGTTTTTTTGAAATTCCAGGGCGAGATCCCCAATCGGTTCGACAGGCGTGGAGTACAGAAGGCCGGAGCGGAGCGTGTCCTGGGGCGCGGGGGGAGCGCGTATCCACACACCGATGCTGGAACCTCTGGCGGACAACTCGAATAGGCGACAATTTGGCATGGGCGTTGTTGGTAGATTCTTTAGGTAAGGAACACTAGCAATAAAGTAATTAAGAATGGATAAAAAATCGTCAACAAGGAATCAGTATTCGACCTACGTCGAATAATTTCAGAAGGTTGTTTTATGGACTCAAAAATCATTACTAAAGCTCGCTTTTAGTGATGGAGTATCACTATGTTTTTCAAACACAAAAAGACTTTTAGGACAGTTAATTTAGATAAATACCTATTTCAGTTTGAATTTGTACAAAAATTAGTCTACTTTTTAATAATGCCACAGATTTCTTAAACGAACATCTTCCAGACAGGTACCGCAATAATTAATATAGAAAATCATCCCACAGTTTTAATATTCTCTTCCAAAAATGTTAACCAAAGATTTACGGCTTGTCTGAACATTTTCATAACACGAGCCAGGGATTATAGAGAAAATAGCTAACGAAGATTTATCAAAGGCACAAATAGCTCGTTCACCCATCCATGCTGGCAAATTGAGGACAATCCCTAGGTTGTCTATAGAGGGATCCATTTAATATAGTACTCTGCCTTTGACCTTAAATCAACGGTGATCCTACTTTCACATAATGCTGTGGAAGGATTTGGTGATAGTGTGTGCTACATGTTTAGTCCGGCAAAAAGTTTTGTAGGCTCAATAAGATGACGATTCGGGATCCGTTTTGTAAGCGACAGAAAGCACGTGAAATTGTTTTCTTATACAATCCTGGCATAGGGTTGTCTCATTTCTCTTTATAATTATTTGCTAAATTTGGCTTCGAAGTTAAGAATTATTGACTTTTTGCAAAGGAAACTTTAGAATTCGTTTATGGTCTAACAAAGCCTAATGTATCGTAAAATCAACTTTTAATGCATATCGGCAAAGTTGAAAAACGCTTGTTTCAAGCCTTTTTGGAGCAAAACGCTTTGTAAAACAAAGAGCGAGTGTAGAACAGTTGTTCAGAGAATTATTTCCAAGCGGTCGACGACCGGTATCGACCCATCGCGTAATTATTAAAGAGTTCCCACTGAGGGGCGCGTTCTTGCCGTTTTTATTTTGTTAAGCCTCATATTGTGTGCGTTGTGAGCTTTGTGGCTACATACTCATTATTTCATATGAATATGACCCCTATTTAGACTAGCCTATACTTTAAGGCAACGTCTATTACTATAGATCGAAACATTTTGAAGGACCACATCTCAATAACACCTAGGACCTAAACATCCTTACTTTTATAGTCTGGATCATCGAAATATTTCTTTTCATCTAGTTATTACGTGAAACCTTCCGAAAATCCCTTACTATGTTAATTTGCTGTATACCAAAGTTCTACCAAGAAACCTTATACATATTGTACTGTTTCGCAGAATTTCGCTTCTCAGAGTCCTTCAGAAGACTTTATTCTTTAGTATTTAGTGATTACTCGTATCAAAGTGATCTGGAACACGAGGTGAAGTAAAATACCATATGACCTTGGGAATGGTTCTGACCTGGTTTATTGTGTTTATAACATAACATAACATAACATCACGCCTTTTATCCCCAAAGGGGTAGGCAGAGGTGCACATTATGCCACTGTACAATGTAACACCCACTTTTCACTATTTATGTTATGAGTCCCATGTAATAGGGGGTGAGCCTATTGCCATATACCGGGCACAATTCCAGACTCCGTGCTACTACTGAGATTTTTTTTTTTAAAAACCCAGTAATACTTTGCCCGACCCGGGAATCGAACCCGAGACCCCTTGCCCGGCAGTCGCACTTGCGACCACTCGGCCAACGAGGCAGTCATTTACTAGTACATAGTATTGTATTACATAGTATTGTGTTTATTTACTGGCATATAATAATACCACAATGGGGTTATGACGACGTCTACAAATTACATGCTAGTGGAAATTCGTTTAATGTTGTATGAGAGTAGCTGTTAGTACTCAGTAATATTAGTGTAGGTGGATTGGGCAGATGACCACGAAGGTAACTTCATCTGTAAACCTGTAAATGTTTTGAGATTCTCAGTAGAGGCATTCAATTTGATTGCACGGTTGGCGCGGTGGTTGAGCAACTGTCTGCCGCGCAACGTGTCGCGGGTTCGATTACCGCACAGAACAACTCTTTGTGTGATCCATAAATTGTTGTTCCGGGTCTGGGTGTCATGTGTATGTGAACTTGTATGTTTGTAATCGCACCTACGACACAGGAGAAAATGCTAGTGTGGGGAAACGATTAAAAACAAATTACACAGGGTTTGTTAAAGACGTTCGTGTTTCGATTTTTTATCTCTAAAATTCACTAAAGATCTATAACTGTTAAAACAAATACAATCTATATAAACAAAATTAGAACACAATCAGCAGAGCATAAACACGACTTAGGTACCTCTTTAATCAAGAAACTAAAGAAAATTTCAATGCAATGAATCTTACTTAAAGTACAGAAGAAAGATTAAAAAATAATGCCTACGGAACTGCACGGTGTCGTTTCGACTCATATTTCACCTGAGCCTCTAATATATCACCGTGTTTACGCCGAGTTCCACTTAAAAACTTGCCGTAATAGCTTTTTGAATTAATACTACGGGGATACGGTAGCAGTAACTCTTGTTAAAATGCATTATGTCAATTTTTTTAATTTTGTTTTTGGTGTAGTTTCATTGTTTTGTTTTGAGTTTTTTTATATACCTATATTTGATGGGCCGACGTTTGACCACTATCTAGCCTGGTGGTAAGCGATGATGCGGTCTACAATGGAGCTAGTCGTCCCATAAGCAACCTATTCACTCGGGCTTTGAAGACTCCCAGGTTGTACCCTTCAGGAAATACAGACTCTGGCAACACTCTTTTGTAATGTGTTTTGATACAGCGTCTGGCAAAGAATTCCACTTTGTTGTAGTGTGTTTTGTTAGTAAATACTCATATTTTTATCATATTTAATCTTTTCTAGTTCATTAACATCGTCATCATCACATTAGCCACTCCTGAAGATATCATCATCATCATCATCATCATCATCATCATTATATCAGCCACAGGACGTCCACTGCAGAACATAGGCCTGAAGATATACTTTTCCCTAATGAATCCCAAATCGGGCAGCTGAAATCTAATAAAAATAAAAATCAGTAATAAGTTTTTTCTTTTTAAGAGATCAATTTAGACAGCAGCCACTTCTTTTGGCTAAGTTATCTGGCTGTCTAAGTTATCTTTGAGTAGACAAGTGTGTCGTGAAAATACCTAAATTTAAATATGCCATGCCTTTTGTTGACACTATTTTATTACCTTATTAGGATTTACCATCCGGTACCGTCAGAGTTGAACACACTTGTCACCATCCTGACTCGATGTATCGATTTAAGGACTACCTATATATTTAACAGAGACCAGGCAGCAGTGTTCTCTGACAAACCTAACCCTTTAAAACTCGGAGCCGCGGAGGACTTAACGGGTTGCTGGGGCTCCGGTTCGAAGTGTAGGACTGCAATCTTTAACACTGCAATCTCCAACCCCTTTGCTACGATAAACTCCTCATTTTTAAATGCCCTTAGTTAACTCTCATTGACTATTGATAATGACATTGAAATTGAGTTAAGTTGGTAATATATCGTCGAATATATTTACTTTTGTGAGAAAAGAAAAAATACGACATATCTGATGTTTAAAATTAATCTACCAGACAGACATTAAAAAGAAATTTAGGAAACTACCCTATTATCGGAAACGCAGAAAATATAAAACCTCTAATTCTAATTCCAGACGTTCGCTCCGCAAGTCGGTGGCACATCAAGAAGAGGTAGCGCGTCAGCTGGACGAGCTGACGGACTACCGACCTTATTTTACGTGGTGGGTGAGCACAGTACAGACACTAGTGCTGCTACTGTCACTCCTTTGTTACGGGTTTGGACCTGTCGGGTTCGGCAGGCACACACATTCGGGACAAGTCTTGGTTAAGAGCTTGAGTTTACAGCAGGTAAGATACTATTTATACTAGGTTATAAGTAATGTTTTGGCATAAGTCGGTAAACGAGCTGACGGATCACCTGATGGTAAGCAATCGGTGTCGCCCATGGACACCTGGAACACCAAAGGCGTTACAAGCGCGTTACCGGCCTTTTGGGGATTAGTAGTTTGAAGATTGTTGGTGATTCAAGAATTGGGGAGATTGGAGAAGGGGAGGGTAATTGGGCCTCCGGTAACCTCACTCACACGTCTCGAAACACAACGCAAGCGTTGCTTCACGTCGGTTTTCTGTGGGGTCGAGCCGGCCCATTCGTGCCGAAGCATGGGTCTCCCACACTTATTGGGCTTGTGTGTGTTATATGTAGTCAAAAATGTTGTACAATGGTTATTTAGTATGCGCACATTATCCGAGCTTAAATGTTTTATCAGAGTGTACTTATTTATATTCCAATCATGATCAGTGGGTATTACAAAGCTATGAACGTCTGATAACAAGTAATCACTCATTTTGTCCAATAAAAACATTCTAATTACAATTTTTTTGCATAAAATAATAAACATAGAACCATAGGAAAGGCAAGACCAAAATAATAGAAGAGACGGATTGGACTGATTCCGACGAAAAGTGATACAAAAACATTTCGTTTTTTCTAACATAACATAACATCGCGCCTTTTATCCCCGAAGGTTGCATATTACGGCACTTAATGCCACTGTAAAATGTAATACTCACCGTTCACTATCTATGTTATGAATCCCATGTAATAGGGGGTGAGCCTATTGCCATATACCAGGCACATTTCCAGACTCCGTGTTACTACTGAGATTTTAAAAAACCCAGTAATACTTTGCCCGACCTGGGAATCGAACCCGAGACCCCTTGTCCGACAATCGCACTTGCGACCACTCGGCCAACGAGGCAGTCGTTTTTTCTATACACAGCTAAGTGTACAATCGGAAAGTTTATTGATCAGAAAAATTCGTAATAAAATCTCTAAATGATTTCAACTGTAAATCCTCAATATTGGTTAGATATGCTCTTGTACTAACAAATCCTATTTTCGAAGAATCGAAAATATATTTAACATAGCTTTCTTACATTTTTTACCATGATAAGACTGATCATTTTCAGTTTCCAACACATTGGATATTGATTGCCTACTTTATTTTTATACTTGAATAGATAATTTTATGTTCCGACGCATATAAAACCCTTTTCGTAAGGAACTCGGTCCTAAATCGTGAAATGTCTTTTATGGCGTTACGACGGCCCCGAGTGATTTTTACAGATCACACGTCATATGAAAAACGTTTCATTTTTCATGACTGAAGTAAACACTTCACTTCTTTTCATCTAAGTATTTGTTAAACCATAGGTTGAAGTTATTATGTAGTCGTACACAGTTGAATCATAAAACAATTTTCGTTAAGAATTTTTAACACCTACACAACTTCTGCTTCTACTTTTGGAATAATAAAACCTAATTTGAGTTCAAGTTATCCAGTAACCTTACGTAATCCTGTTTTAGTTCCTAAACTTAACTGTTATTGACTGACTAGAAAGAAAGAAAGCAAAACTTTATTTCACACGCACATACAGATTTTACGCATAAGTTTACAAATATCTATTAATGTCTCAAGTCTGCGGTGAAATGGGACCAATTCAGCATGTGCAAGACAGGGCCCCGCGCTGGTATTCTACTGGCCCCTTTAAGTGACTTGCGGACGAATAAGTCACCACTCAGACAACAATAAACACATAGCAATTTTCACTAAACACACACCATAAAATACACATAAGAAAACAAATAAATAAACACAATATAGGCGATGTGTTGAGCGAAGCCGGCTGATGTCGCCTGACATATACGGTGACAAAGCGCAACTTATGTCCACAGTGACGTTGATGTTGTCAGACATGTCGACCAAAGTCCGGCAACGTCACTGGCGAAACGTGTCGTAGATCATTTTTCCTCTAGTGTATACTTAACTTTAAGGGCGTTCCTAGCCTCAAAAATAACTTATTCACCCCTTTAGGCCCTCTGATAAAGTAAAACGTATTGTGAGATTTCTCCAACCGTTTCCTAAAGACAGTCATACGTATTAGAAGTGGGTTTTACTTAGACATATATTCTCTCTTCATCCTTCAAATTCCGTTTCTTTGTGTAGGTAAGAAAGACTTAGCATAACAACGTTGAACGTGGCAAAGCTTTTAGACAAAACATGTTCCCCAGGTTTAATGTCTGAGAATGTTCTGAACAATTCGCGTTATTATTTACTTGTGTGGATAATATTCACTCGTTTGTCTAGATTTCAAGATTTTACTCATGCCTGGTTTAAAAATATTGTTGTCAATGAAACATTTTCAACAGATCGTAATGATTCACTTTACCGCTACCTTCAGATAGTTGAACCATTTATTTTCTTAAAAAAACATATATACGGTCGAATTGAGAACCTCCTCCTTTTTTTGAAGTCGGTTAAAAATGGGCTGTAAAGTGCAAGCTGTAATAGACAATACGATTTACGATTTTGTGTTCCAATACAGAGTGATCAATCAGTCATATTCATAGTATCGTGAGTTCTAACTTAGTTTCATATTAATTAGACACTGAATAATATGAACAAATTATAAATTACACATTCACAAACGCAGTAACTTCATTGCATTGCAAAACAAGAACAGGAAGTCAAACGCAAAAATGTGCGATGAAGTCAAGAACTTTATTTACTGTACGGACTCGATATGAAATTAACAATTAGCAAGTAGGAACCACAAAGGGTGTACGTATTCATTGTGACGTAAGGAACAGTGTCACAAAGTAAGAGTATTAGCGAGCGAGCTCGGTATGTAGGTCACACAGTCTTTGTGAGCCCGTCCCTTTTGTCTGCTTTTTGCTGCTTAGCGCAGTCTTTCATGATGCTATCTTTTAGCAGCGAGTGACCGCAAAAGGTCCGTCTGTAGATGTAATTTTTGGCCAATTGTACTTTTTTAGTCCATTGTTTCTGTTTGTAATTAAACAAACAAGCTTTTGTTTGTCTGTTTATTTACGAATAATTATTTATTCAAATATATTGACTTAAATAAAAAAGTGTGTAGAATTATACTGTGTATTGTAATTTAGGTTCACATTCTATTTGTTTTGGCATGTTCTAGTCTAGAGTATCATTTATAAATTTTCGCTGTTAAATATGAAATATTTATCAAGTTGGCAATTTTGTAAATATCTCGTTTCATAGAGAGGTACTTAGAGATAATGAGTCTGCTTTTGAACTTACATTTCAGTTTAGTCTTTATAATGTAGTAGCAAGCTAATATTAACTTAGCTCTCGTGTTTATTTTCCATAACAATGGGAATCAGTAATGAATTAGGCTTAAAATGTTTAAGTATATTGTTGATAACTACTTCATCATCATCAACAGCCTATAAATGCCCACTGCTGAGCAAAGCCTCTTCTCACACGGTGGAGGTTTGAGCTTTAATCACCACGCTTGCTCAATGCGGGTTGGTGATTACAAACTTATAATTAGAAATTATAAGCCCAGGTTTCCTCACGATGTTTTCCTTTCACCGTTTGTCAGTGGTGTCTAAATAATCTTAGAAAGTATATATAACTCGGAAAAAGTCACATTGGTACTTGCCGTTGGTAGGTTTCAAAACTGCACCTTCATACATGAGAAGCGGGCTTCTTATATATAGGCCACCACGAATACTTATGTAGGCTGTATACTTATTTTAGTAGTCATAGAAATAACTATGATAGGTACTTGATGCTCCAGTCGCACAAATCATTGCATGTAAAGTCGTACATATAGTCTAGTTAGTCTTATATAGTCAGAGAGAATATGAAAAGAGATTGCTGATCACGTCAAAGATCTTTTAAGATAGTATTGACGAATCTTATTTGACTTCTTCTTACATTAGATGTATTGAATTTTTAACAAAAATTTATCGTAATCATTTGTGTTTTCTCATAATTTATTTTTTATTTTCCAGGTCGAATGGGAAGAACCAGCCTCATTTTGGCTGGGACCTCGGGCAGCTGACTTAATACATTTAGGAGCTAAATTCGCTCCATGCATGAGGAGGGACGCAAGGATAGCGAGGGCAATAGCTGCTTCAGCTAGGAGAGAAAGAGACACAGCATGCTGCATACGAAATGATGATTCAGGATGTGTGCAGTCTTCTAAGGCTGATTGTTCGGTGGGTATTAGTTCTTCCAGGAGTTTGGCATTGATGCTTTGGGGCAGGAATTGAGGGATTGTTTGTTTTTGAGGTTCATGTGGTGACGGTAGAATAATTATAATACCTACATTTGTTACCACCGACTCTATCCGTGGGTGTCTTTAAATTCGACTATTACATTAAACATAAGCATAGACCAGGTAGCAGTGCTCCATGATGCAATGCAAAAATCACAATTCTAATTTTAAATTTTTTGTAAAGGAACCCGGTATCCCAGTTATGTCGTCATTGGTCCCATATAATAATAGCTTATCTTATTATACGGTTATTAATTCTGTTGAGTGTGTATATATTTATACTGAACATATAACGATAACATTGTATAACATTCTCTTTTTGCGCACGCTTTCAAATAGATAAGAGGATTAATATCAAAGGTATGTGTCTGAGCCGACATTGATGTCTTTTTAGGTTAAAGTAGCTTGTGTGTATTGATATATTGTGTGCTAATAGAAAAATCGTTAAGGAAAATATTATGCATGATCCTTTTAAATTCCATTCGCAATTACACGTAGCGTGACACATTTGCCTAAGGCAGAAAGTGTACCAAGTGTCACAAACGTTTTACAAACTTACCTACTTACTTACAAACGTCTTACTTCATCAAACTATGATAACAGTAGAATTTGGCCCTGGTAAAGGTCAGAATCGATTCAGATCAATGCACATTATAGTTTCCTGCGCGCCTGAACATAATCTATTAATAATCTTTCAAATCGTCATCGTGTAATAAAACAGAGGCCTTAGTAAAATTTGTTTTACGTTAAAAGTAATCGAAACGAGACTGCCTTCAGCTCTCCGATTGGTTTGTTCATGGGAGCCGGCCAATCACAGCGCCGAACGCGTACTCGTTTCGATTACTTTAAACGTAAAAGAAACTCGTAAAAGGCCTCTGGACATAATGGTAAAGATGTAGTGTGTAGTAGTTTGATATAATATTAAGTGTAGCTAATTGTGCATGTTAGTGTAAGTCGTCAAAATGCTTCATGCTCCTTGGGTCAAACCTTGTATTGAGCGAAGCACAAGCTTGTCCACCGTGAACTTTGTTTTGTCTACCTTTCAGAACACGATCTCGACGTGGAAGAAATGGTCATCGGGAGAGTCGGGGCCTGGCGGTCGGATATCAGGGTCCGTTTGCGGATTAGATCCCAAGTAAGTACTTTAAATTACCTGCTAATTACTGCTTATTCTGCTAAAGCTGTCTTATAAATTCTTGTCATTAATATAACGTAAAGAAAAATGGAACGATCCAACATTCTAAAAAATGAACTTCTACGAATAATGTATGCATTAATGTACAAATTACCATTGTAGATTTATAAGGTCTTATATTGTTTCTCTTTTCACTCGAAATTAGATCAATATCTTGTATTGAAATATAGATGAAGGTTGATAGACTTATCTGTACGTAATCTTGTATTTTACAGGTTTTGTGAAGCACCGCGTTCGATAGCACCTCATGAATGGCCGGATGACATCACAAAATGGCCGATCTGTCGCAAATCAGTTCTAGACGGATCTGCGGCCGCTGGTCGGGCAGGTCACGCGCAGAACATATGGCCTGTGAGGTCATTGGCCATCCCTGCTGTATAGGAGTCCACGGGCAATGCGTCATCACTACTAGGGAACACTGTGACTTCGTAAAGGGTTATTTCCATGAAGAAGCGTCATTGTGTTCACAGGTTAGTTGTGTCTGATTTTTTAAGTTAAATATTTGATGAATTGGTGATTCTCAACCCCACAGAAGAGCTCTATCACCAAGTATTAGCCAATTTCAATTCACATCAAAATACCTGATTATGTAACCGTCTACGAATAACTTATTTTCATAAGTTAAAATTGATATCTACTTTCAATTCCAGGTATCTTGTCTTGACGACGTTTGCGGCATGCTGCCTTTCATGCGGCGACGTCGACCGGACCAGCTGTACCGCGCGTGGACGTCTTTATTTGTCCACGCTGGTTTACTGCACCTGGCAGCCACGCTGGCGCTGCAGTGGCTCTTCATGAGGGACCTGGAGAAGATGGCCGGGCCAGTTAGGATAGCTGTCATATATTTAGGAAGTGGGGTCGCCGGGAATATGGCATCTGCCATATTCGAACCTTATAGAGCGGAGGTAAGTTACTGATTATGTATCATTTCTGTTTATTGTAGGTATGGTATAGATTCAATAGGCTCGTGAAAATAGCATCTAATATTTATTTTTCTATTCCAGGTGGGGCCAGCTGGATCACATTTTGGTTTACTGGCATGTCTAATAGTAGAAGTAATAGGGGCGTGGCCTCTCCTGAGGCATCCGAAACGAGCAATTTTAAAACTAGTCGGTATAGCCATAGCGTTGTTCCTCCTGGGTCTTTTACCCTGGATTGATAACTTCGCGCACGTATTCGGCTTCGTGTTCGGATTCTTACTAGCGTATGCGTTACTGCCATTTATAACATTCGGTCCTTACGAAAGACGAAGAAAGATCGCATTAGTGTGGGTCTGCATGGTGTCGGCGGGCGGGATGTTGTGTGCGCTGGTCGCGTTGTTCTACGCGGCGCCGGCGTACGAGTGTGCAGCGTGTGCGTACTTTACGTGCTTACCGTTCGCGCCGGACATGTGCGCGTCGCAGGACGTGCGCGTGCGTCAGCTGGACGGGGTATGACGGCGCGCGGCCCGGGCGCCCCCGCCGCCGCCGCCCCCCCGCCCTGTGTGCCGCGCGCCCCCCGCGTGCGCCCGCCCCGCGCCCCCCGCGTGCTCGCACGTCCCGCGCCGCGCTGTCGCCTAGCGCCTCACCCCCGCCGCCGCCCAGACCTCAAACCGTCACCTCGCTCTTACAGCGTTACTACAGAAACTCAGCGCTCAGTTATCGCGCTATCGAAACAACCCCTCTTGATGTCAATCTAACGATTGAGATGATTTATAAATAATCGTGCGCAATATTCATTTACTGTTTACCTGCTAGGTATAACTTGGTGGGGTCAATGCTGAAAACAAATTCAGGCTTATGATATCTATAATACAAGTTAAATAGGTGTAACCTATTCGTTGGCCAACTTGAGTTTCTGTATTGAGTGTGCTGTATCGCTACTGCCCACTAGTACGAATGTGTCGGTATGAGAGTGAGCTCTAGTTACTACCTAGGCGATCTTTTAAGATTTTATAATCGTCGAACTAGATTATAAAAGTGTATGCGAATATTCAATCGATTATTTAATTTATCGATAAAGACGTATTGTTACGTGTTAAAGTTTGTTGTTTTATGGACTCACTGATTTGTACTTGAATTTCAAGAGGGCGGTCGAATTTATTTCACATGTATTTTTTCAATACTATAAATAATGTCATTCTAAAATGCTATGTTTAAGTCTGATTTTGTAAAATAATTGACATGCGATGTTCATTGATGGCTGCCGATATGCATGTGAAATATATTCGATCGAAATTGGATTACAAAAAAAAAAAAATAAAATATTGTGCTAAATCCACGGATATAGAACTTGCAATGCGGACGCGACTTACTAATGTAAATATTCTGTAAAATAATGTACTAATGTTACGGTGGTAAGTGAGTCGTACTATGTGTGGTTACGTTTCGTTTGCGTGCGTCTTACGGGACCACTGTTACGTCACATTGTACATTACTAACTCTGTATTTATACACTACATTTTTACTTATGTACACAGAACTATCATTACATTTCGCACACAAAACAATAGTCTCTTCTACATTTCCTCTCCGCAAATGTGACCTAACGCGTTCCCGTAACAGTGTCAAATATACATAATTTAGTATATTACTAAATAATGTAAATATAAACAAAAAAAAATCACATATTTTTCATCTATTCAGTTCACCGTATATGAACGAATTCAGTCTATGTATAAGTATTCTAATGGATTTTTAATTTCGTCAATTTATATAGCTGTATCAAGTCTGCGTAGTATTACGTTTGTTTTATATTATATGCTAGTATATATACTAAACAATTATATTTAGGGATATTTATTTTACTACAAACAGGTTAGGAGACTTTATCGTTCACTATCATTCATACTTTACATGTTTTATTACGAATTTACATTTAATACTAGTCACTATGTTAATTATAATATTTTTTAGTTTAAAAAAACAATGTAAATATATATAAATTTAATCAAGCGAAAGTGGTGATCATTGTAATTAAACAGTTATTTTGCTAGGGAATGTTAATCGGGGATCGTGTGTGTGAGTGTGTGTCTGAACATTTTGTACAACTGCCATATACCATTGTAGATATATATACATATATATTACATATATAGGAGTTGTAAGAATATGTTTGAACTCCTAAATTAGGCACATGCCTAGTTTATTTCTATGAATGTATCCGTTTGGGGACATTTAAGTGGCGTCCGTGGGTTATTACATCTACTTGAGTCAATGACTAATCTGATGACTGATTATCCTTAAACGCAATTGCCACACTACGCCAGTCTAGTAATTTACACTTCGTTTAAATAATTTGAGGAACAGGGGACTTACAGAATTGAATTATGCTCTGTGGACGACCATTTAAGTGTTGACAAATGGTTATGAAAGGATATATTTTTATAGTCTTGATTATTGTACTTTTTCTTTATGTTCTGTGCTTTAAAGGTTATGTTGAACTTTCAAAATGGCAATTATAAGTGTATTCCATGAACTCTGGTTTTTGAAAGGTTTCATACAAGATTCATAAAGAATACTTAATGTAATAAAGCGACAATGTATTAAATATATCAATATATATATATGCTACAGGTTCCTAAATTCATAATTATAAAACATTTATTAGATCAACCTTAGAAAGTGTTAATATTTATTATTTTTCACAATTTTATAAGTATTTCAGAATAATGTGTACTCCTTTTTTCAACCGACTTCATTATGATTGCTATTTATAATTTCATATTTGACTATCGGTTTAAACACAAATTTTTAAAAATATCAACTTTTCTTTTTTTTTTCGTTACTTGTTAAAGATGTCACAATTTTCGAAATCAAAGCACAAAAAATGTGTCCCCTATTTTTTTAATAAAAATGATTGCAATAATCGCTATTATGTATTCGTACTTTATTATAATAAGCACAAATAAAAAAATACAAATATAGTATTGGAAAAGTCTGAGTGTATCAAAATTGACATTTCGTTTAGCACAATTAATAATTTTAATTACTGTTATACATATATTATATTTAGTTATGATTTTTTCTTCCTTAAAAAATGTTTAAAGCGTTAAACGAAATCTGGAAAGCTACTTCAATTTGAAATTGTATTTAAATATCGTGCCATCTCTGTCATTTTACAAAGAATTTGCAGAGACGGAACTATACTCAAGCGCGACTTCAAATTGAGGAGCCTAGTATGTGGACGTTAGTTGTGTAGGCATTCATTTACTTCTTATGAATTAATATTAATTAGTGTTTAACGTGTTTGTTAAGGCTTTTGGTGAATTGTCACTTAAGTTATTTTGCTATCAATGCTAAATATACTTAACTGACTTCATTATAAAGTTGATTTTACAGCACACAGACGCATAAATTTTGCTCAGTCTCCAATAAATGTGCAAAAAGCAATAAAATACAATTGAATGTCGATGACAGAAGTGTGAATAGTCTATTAAAAATATTATTTTACTAAAATGATAGTTTTGTTTAAAATAGTTAAATATTTTTATACCTACAATTCCTAATACTTATGTTTGGAGTATGTATTTCGAACTGTACAAAATATTGTATCTGATTCTAATGGCAGTATTTGTAAAAACGCTATGAACATGGATGCACATTTGTCACTATTGACTTCTCTGTACAAGGATTAAAAAATATACAAAAGTTATATAATGAAAAAAAAAATGAATCCTAATAGAGTGTCATTGTCATTTGTATTATTTTCTTGATTGTATCGAAAAATACTGTGTAAAATAATGTGACGCGCTGCACTTCGATTGGCTGCTTTTAGAAATGCCGTAACGCTGATTGGCGGCATTTCATTGAGCAACCAATGAAAGCGCGTTGCGTCACATCATGGTTTAGATAATATGTTCTCAGCTTTACTGTTTCTACTCTGTACCCATTCTATCAATTATATGTATAGTTATTGTAATAGTATTAATTATTTCAGTTAACAGCTATGATTTTTATTGTAAAGTGTTTGACTGTGTGCGTGAAGTTCTCGATTACTTTCTTTGAAAATCTTACAGTGACGTTATCTTGAAGTGCCCTTGAGCCCGGCGGCCCGGCGAACTAATCTCAGATTAAGACAAAAAAACTTACATACATAATTGTACATTGTGAACATACACCTAATTATTACTTATATGTTAAGTATGGTAAAGTAATCTTATTGTAAACTAGTATTAATCGAACAAGAAACCTTATTATCATAATATTGGTGTGTTTTATTTGACGCTCGTTCAATTTACAGGTCAAAGTCAAAGTCAAAGCATTTATTTCAATTAAACCATAGTTTGGTACTTTTGAAACGTCAACAAATACAAAATAAATAATTGTCTGTCAGTCCGTCCGTCAGTGAAACTAGGTGAAGCTAGGTGCTTATTCAAAAATGTAGATTCGAATGGAGAAGAAATTCCATTCTTTACTCTTTTTTAAAAAGTATGTTCCACAATGTCTCTGATACTTATTTCAATACTGTACGCATATGTAAGAACAATGCAAAGACACGCTTGACGCATTATACTAATAACTTACTAAAATAAAAATCTTAAAGTCTAAAATGGTTCGAACGGTTCAGGCTTGATAATCTCTATATAAATACTACTAGACTATCAAAATATCTCAGCAACTCCTAACTTAGTTTGTCTGATGTTCATACTTTCAAGGACATTCCTTAAAATCATTGTTTAAGATAGTTTTTTGAGAAATAAGGCTATCTCGTAGCATTGAACTGAAAATCAATACATAGAAGATAGATAGATATGATTTTTTTTCTTTTTGTTTTTCATGTCTGTATTATGGACACTTTTCCTTGACCGATTTTCATTAAGTCTTCTTAACTTCAATAAACCTTAGGAAGACTGGTGTTTGTCGTAAAGCAGGTTCGAAACCTGCATGGAAGCTTAAAGAGTCTACTAAGTAAAAAGTTCAGGTTCAATTCTCATATAAAGTAAAGATATTTAGGTTTATAGTTTGCAAAATATAAAGTAGGTATATATTAGCTTCAGCATTCAGCTAAGGATTTTGGCTTTTTTATCATTATCTTCAAAAAATCCTAACTTGTATTGAAAAACTCTACCTTTATAGATAAGTTATTTTAAACTGCGTAATACATTACACGGCGGACAGGATAATATAAAGGTTGGAAAAGATAAAGGTTGACACACGTGTCCTGATTATAGGTACCACTAGAAGGTATTAATTCAAGATCTGCTGTTACAGTACAATACAGGTGACACCAGTTCTTGTTAGGTATGATAAAAGAAATTATAACAGTATTTTGCATTATAATAATAGGTAACAATAACCTGGCTCGTCGACTGCCTCGTTGGCCGAGTGGTCGCAAGTGCGATTGATCCATTTAAACCTTTGCCGGCAAAACAACTGTTGAAGGCACCAATGACCAACGTGGCGGTTAACGTGTTGATCAGAAATTGCCAGCCCGCCTGCCAAGTGTTTGTGGTGAT